ATATCAAGATTTATTAAATTTTATGCATAAAATTGACGGATAATTAGTTCTAAAATTTAAAACTGAGGTATAACGCAAAAACCGCAAAAAATATACTAAAATACATAATTTCTGTACAAAAACTATACTTTAAAAGTTTTTACACAAAAATGTTTCGAATTTTCGTATTTTTTAAATTTTTTAGGCAACATTCCATGTTACCTAAAAATTCCTAATGCTTTCTACACCCCGAAAAAAATAAAAAGAACGAAACGGCCATGAAGTCCCCCAAAAAAATTCCGGCTAGGCCCTATACCTAAAAACCTGCAGCTCCGATTTGGGGGACCCTGAGAAGAGGGTCGAGAATTAGTGTAGCGGGGGGCGACTCGTTTCGGAGCGGATAAGTGGATTCAGGGGAAGGTAATTTACGCAATCACATCTCACATTGCCACACCCCGAGGTCTCGATGGAGGGGGTTATACGGCATTTAGCCCCCGTTGGCGCCTGCGCGGAGACGAATAGCAAAATGGGTTTTGTTGAGAGTGGAGAGAGAGAGAGAGAGAGAGAGGGAGGGAGGGAGAGAGAGCGAGAGTGAGGGAGGGAGGGAGAAACGTGATCCCTGGTTTTGAAGAGTTTGCAGAATACATAAAGGAAGTATGAGAGCAGAATGGCAAGTCGAGTTTTTTATAACACATCAAAATAGAAAAACCTAACCTAGATGAATACAAGACCTTAAAACAGTCGCTTATTTAAATTATCTTGCCAACAAACAAAAAGGGAAAAGTGTTACTAAGGGTTTTAGAAATAGTTTATGGATTTTTTAATGGCATTTTTTATTAGCGCATGGAGCATCCCGTTTCTTTTTCGGTCTATGGAAAAGGATGTAATATAGAAACTCCATTTTAGTAATTTAATTTTTCAGCAAAGCTGTGTGCTCAACGTGCTCGTAAAAAATTCTAATAAAGATAGTCGCTAGCCGTGTTATGCGAAAGACTTGATACAGGATTTTTGGTTATTAATGCACAAGTCAGAAGGCTGTTTTTCTCTTTGAAAACCCCAATTTTTACGTAAAAATTAGAATTTTGAAATTTCTTAATGAGTGGTACGAGGTGGTCAGGTATTTGCATATTCGAACGATTTATTGCTAGCTACTGGCTCTGGGGCGACTGGCGGAATGGCCACTCAGGTGTTTTTCTCCATACAAAGCAATTTATCACTGAAGAATTAGTTTAGTAAAAACCTTTAAGGGAGGATGACTGATAGAAATTGGTCAGGTGTGTTAGTTGGGCCCCCGAAAAGGATTGGGCCCCTCCAGCCAACCCCAACCGGTGTCGACAACCCCCCTTTATAATCCGGTCAGGAGTCCCCGGAATCGATGGGCCAATCCGCTGTGCATGGAATAGACAGGAAGATGAGCACGTCTTCTGCTTCCTTCCCTTCTCCCCCCTCCTCAAACCCCCAGCCGGAAACCCATAACACCGTCATTTCCACCGGCCCCCCGAGAACCTGTCTGGCCCCTCTCCCCCCATTAAATTAATGCAAAAACATAGGGTTCAAAATCGGGATCGCCATTGCGGAAGAATCATGTTAAACCCTCGACGGTTCAGATGGTTTAGATGTTTAATATGCATATGCCGAAAGAACACGTAATGCATAAAATAACTGGGGGGTTTTTCGAACGTCACCCAATTTGCATAAAGTAAGCTACCTCAGTGTCCAAAACTCGCTCTGCAAACCCGTTTTCACTAGCTTTTTATGATGACCTAATTTACATAAATCGGGTGACTCTGCTCCTTTATCCTTATGTTAAATCCGATGTTTTGGTATTTAGCGTAAGTATAAAGCGTAAATAACTCTTCATTTTTGAAAATTAAAAAATGAAAACTTTAACGATAGTGTTTTTGTAATGTAAATAAATTTTGCATATACAGAACAATTTTCCGATTTTTTTGAAATGCTGAATCCATCTTAGAATCAATAAAATTAGCATTGAGTGGTTTAGGTAGTTTGATCCCGATCAGATAATTTTTAGGTAATGCTTTTTTGATCAGTAGAAGGAGTCATTTCCGTCCAATCCACAAACGGTAGGGCTAAAAATAAGCCTATATTTTAGGCAACACCACATTATAAACAACATTACCCACAGAACCTGAGAACCACTAAGTTCCCTATTTTTGAAATTTTATCTATCTTTTTTTCATGCGTGTGGAGGAGAGGATCAAAACATATCACGGTGCCCCCGCAGGTACTTTGGATATCAAACCCGGAGATCCGGCATTTTTATGGGCGTATCCGTAGCCATTTCTTATCAAAAGAGAGACAGAGAGCGAGAGAGATAGCGAGAGACAAAGAGAGAGAGTGCGAGAAAGAGAGAGAGAGAGAGAGAGAGAGAGAGAGAGAGAGGGGAAAGGGGAGAAAGAGAAGATCTAGCGCTATTTCTTTGTGCGTGTATATGCGTCTTTTTCCCAGTCATCAAGACCATTTTTTTCTGCCGTAAATCCCAATGATTTTTTTGTCGGTCTCTCCCCTCTATTCTTCCGGATTACCCCACCCCCATTTCCCTCAAATCCCCTCTCATCTCAATATTTGATCGTGAATTTTGCGAAAACCCAGAAAACCGGCGTCGGTTGATCCGATCCCATTACCAGGCGAATACGGTTTAAAAGTTCACCCCGATTTGCAGAATCAATTTATCGAAGGTTTGACGCATTCGGGGAATCAACCAACGGGTTGGGCGATGACTGGCCATTCGCCAAATGCGCCACCAACACCCACGCAGCACGGAAACGAGAGAAAAAAATATATGCAGTTCCCATCAAAACAATCACAATATCACGTAGCGAGGGGGTCATGTTATAATTTGCATAATACGTACAACGTGCGCATTGAATAAATGCGTAGTCGGAAAGAGTATTTTGGTTTTACCAAAACATATGTTTGCCAAAAGCCATTTTGTCGAAAATATTTTTGTTGAATTCGTTTTGTCGATTTGACAATTTTCGAAATTTTAATGCCTTTTTCGCCTCGATTATCATTTCAAAATTGCGCAAATTGAAATTTGCACGCGTTTAAATTTCTACAAAATGTGATTTCGGAAAAGGATATTTCGACAAAATGAATTTTGAACGAACTCAACTTCTACATACTGATATCAAATGATCGGGAAGAAATATGGACTTTGGAAAATTATGTTCAAATTTAAAGCGGATTTTAAATGGGCGGGTAAGCAATTTTTTTAGGTTTAAAGGGACGAGCAACCTTTGGCACCCCAAAAATTATGACGCCCTTAAGCTGCAAAATGCAAAAATTCGGCATGCATCAGAATGTCCTTGTTTTTTCTGCAACTTCCTTCGCACAGCCGCACCCAGGGGGATATCGGGTGGAACGGTTAGGGCTGCAGAAAAACAAGGGTTAGCCTAATATCAATTTTTGGGGTACGCGAGTGTACGGTCATCCGGGGGGGGGGGGAGGCGCAAATGTACGGTCACGGGAGGAATCACAGGGTTGACCCGGAAGTGCGGGGGCCACGGTTTTGGTGCTATTACAACAAAAAAGCTACAAATGCCGACATTGCCTTGAGGTGCGCTTTAAATGCTGGCGGGCAAGGTTGGGGTAAGTATAGGATGGTTTTAAATGGGTGGTGACAGGGCGGTGGAGGATCAAAAGATTCTTTGTAGCGTAAAAAAATTGCCATTTAAAAATTCGAATTTGCATTTACCCTGCTTGTCCTTAACAATTATTATTTTTGAAAATTTAAGGAACAACGGCCAAAATCATAAATTTAAATCGCTATCGACTCCGTCTTTCATGGCCCTTCAAACTTGATTTTAGGGCAAAAACACCAACAAAACTTCTTGCCTTCAACGTCCCTGAAAATCCTATGTTACGATTTCGAGTAAAAGCTAATCCATTCAAAACGATCCAACTTCACGCCCTTCACCAACCCTTTAAAATCACACGATCCTAGCAAACAGGCTGCGACTAGAATAGGGGGGCTGAACCTGATCGAATACAACAGGAAATTGGGGCTCAAAAGCTGGGGCTCAAACTACAAGCTCAGTAAGGGGGGGGGAATTGGCAAGTTGCCAAATTTCAATATGAATGAGGGTTTGGGTCCGAGATCTATCGGAAGCGTCGGAAATAGAGAAGGGAAATGACGAGCACACCGGCGGCGAGCACGAGGTTCAGAATCCAGAGCGGGCCCAGGCCGAAGCGGGTGAAGAGGTCACTGAAAAAAAGTGAGATTGGATTCTGTAGGAAATGAGGGGTTACTGTAGGTTTTATAGAATCACTTTTTACCTTATTTTATCGATGTAATTTAGTAGCTGAGTTTTTTAGCGATTTTACCGTAGAATACGAATTTGGATAATGGTAATTTTAGTGGTTTTACAGTATTATCCTCAAAATTTAATACGAGAATTTTTAGCGCTAATTCGTAGGATACTATAAATGCAGAAAAACCACTTATAGCGTCGACTTTGCTAAGTTACTGTAGATAAAGGTTAGAAAATTTTTCGATTTTGTTTATTACGATAAAATCCGAAGTAAGTACGGTAAGTCCTGGAGATTACTGTATTTCCTAAAGAACTTGTTTTAGTTTTTAAAAATTATTCCTCTAAATATAAATTTTCAAAGATTTTCTTTAACTCCTTTAACCGTAAAATATTATACATATTTGGAACGAAACAAAATTCGATTAACATTACAGCTAGTAAAATTGTCCTCCGGCTACTAGAAGCTACCATAACTTCTAAAAGCAATTTTTAACGTTTGATTTTCTCGCCATTCCGCCTATCCGCTACCCACAAGACACGAACGCACATTTTTCAAGAGCCTCCTTCCTCGTTTCCAGGGGATACCCCCTATCGTTCTATCATTTGCAAGGGCACTTCCGTGGTACAGACACAACAGCGCATCCCTGCGCTTCGCGCGCCCCGCAAAAAAAATTTCCCTGCGCCCCCATAGCTGGGCTGGGGGATAATCACCCGCGTGCTCAGCTCCAAGATTTTTATGGTGGTCACACATTTTTGGACGCCTCGTTCCGTGGGGATACTCAAGGACGGGGGAAGGGGGTGAGATATTGCCGCGTTTCTTTTTGATCCGCCGTGATCACTGGAAAATCGGCGGTTTGAGTGTGGATACGGTACAAAAGTTGTTGTCGGGGAAGTGAGAGAGATGAGTTACTTTTAAAGTACCAAGTACACCGAACCACGCCGGAAATGCTATGCTTTTCAATTTTTCCCGAGCTACAAGCTATGGTAATTTGTTGTGAACGCACGAAGTATGTCAAATTACCCAAGAGAACGAGGAATTCTACTCTTTAAAGACCCGTCTTACGGAAATATATAGCGTAATCGGTTGCCGGAAGTACGATAGACACAAAATAGCAGATCATTGCGGCGGTTTCCGATTTTAAAGTTCCTCCGAAGGAAGAATCTCGTATATTTCATGACCCAAAATACGAAGTACACCAAATCACGAAAAACAACGGAGCTTTTGCACATTTAAAGGAATACTGAAGGCAATGACAGATTAATTAGGTATGTTTGAAGCTTTCAAAGGTCTATGGAAGTCAAATTTCCGTGAAAACTTACGCTGAATACATAGAGGCAAAGGTCTGAACGGCATCGCTCAAAACGACCAACAATCCTTGCATCATACTCTGAAAAATGTAAATAAGAATATTGGAAGTAATAATATTAACTTTCAAGAATATTGCGACTAAAGATAAGAAGTATACCTGATCGATTTTCTCGAGCAAATTCGAGAATACAGCATCCGAGGCGACGAGTGCAATTTGTACCACGATCACCAGCATTATTACCTGGAAGGATAGATTGTTGCCGATTAAAGCTACTGTGGGTTACACGTTGCTTTAAGAGCTTTTTGAACGTGAAGAAGTGAAGGTGAAAAAAGTGGTGGTTAAACAAAACTTACAGAGGAATACACCCAAACTGTCGGATTTCCAACCGGCGCACCACACCAAGCATATTCCGTTTCATTACAGCCTCCGCGGGTTGTTTCTGGAAATAAGGGGGATTTTAAACTAATTATTGACTATATTCTTTTAATGGCTTGCTATATCCTCCAAATTTGCTAATTCAAAAGTCATAAACAGATTGTATCAATTTTTAACTTCATATGCTGAGCTCGCCCTTTCAGTGCTTTAAAAATCGCAAAATGCAGTTCTCAAATATCAGCCCCCGTGTTTTTCCGTTGAGCGCGACTGACCATTGTACAGTGGCGTAGTGGAGTGTGATAGAAGGCCTGGGATCGGATAGGTGACCACGTAGTAGGCAAGTCCAAGGACGGCACACACCAGCAGCACCCAGTTGTCGCCGATTCTGGAAAAAATTAGGTTTTTATGGCGGAAAACGTCGATTATTTTAGATGTTCATCAAAGGCGCTCTATAGAATAAAACAGAATTTTTAATAATTTTAAACCCAAGCCAAATACATAGCATTTAAAATTTGGATATCCTGAACCTGCTCAGTGATTAGAAAAAATACTCTAGAAAAATAATTAAAATTATTTGTTTATTCTTGATTTTTTTACTGAGAATAGTAAAATATTAAAAGGTTTAAAGCAATACTTGCCGTTTCCCCATTTTGAAGAAAAATATCGTAATCGCAACCGAAACAATCCCAACGTAAATCTTGGCGTTCGTCAATTCAACAACAGTTTCCGCCGATGACCATCCAAAACCCACTTGGCAATAAGGAGCATGGACACTAAATTCAGATCTTTCTCAGAAAATGCTGTGCAGCTTACACCAATATCGTCGAGTTCGAGGCGTACACAGCCACTTTGGCTAGGCAAATGACGGAGATGAGGTGCCAAGAAAAATTGGGCTTGGTGATGAAACCCCAAAGACGAGAGGTCATCGAATAGCTGGGGACGGATCGAAGGGCTAAATGATAATATGGTTAAATTATTGGTATTATAAGAAATGTAACTTATTTAAAACCATTTCTGTAATGTAATATATATGGGTGCTTAAGCCAACAGTATACAAATTAATTTAGTAACCTTACCAGTCTCACTGCTCGTCATCCTCATCTCCGGCTTTGACTCCTTGACCTTCGTGGGTCCCAGCGACGCCGGCTCGGAATAGCAGAAAATGATCAGCACCGTCGCAAATACATTAGTAGCCAACGTGACAAGAAGCGGCCCGGAAAACAAGTGGAGACGGAGCTAAAACAAAACTTTAAAATTTAAAATTTTAGGCATACGGATTCATGCCCCAAGGTGATCCCGGGATATTCGATGGAAGCGAAGAAGAGTTGCATGACTACAAAAATTGTTACATTACTTGAATAGATTAATAGTAGAGAAATCTAGAAGTTTTCGTAGAATAATTACCAGGCGCGAGCAGCATCGCCGCCACATTTGCTAGGGTTCTCAATGCAAATGCGGAGGAACGATCTTCCGGAATTGAACAATCAACGATGTACGTTCTTAGGTTGATGATGGATCCTGAAAAATATAACATTTTGTATTTATTTTAATTTTTAATTTTATTTTAATTGTTTTAAAGTGAGGGTGACAGTCGCTTGAAACTCACCCAGTCCCATACTGTAAACAAGGAAGTAAACGGTCATCAGAACATATCGCTTCCACGACCCGAAAAACTCGACCCCACAGTACAAAATCAACGCGACGAGATCGCAAACTCTGCCGAGGAGAAGTCCATTTCTTAAATTCATAGATATAAATTGGTTGTGTTGAAGAGCAATGGTAAAACAATAGCATAATCCAAAAAATCGTACTTTGTAGTCTTCGTTTCCGATCGCCAATAGCTGAAGCCGATGGTGGCAACGGCATGGCCAATACGGGCTACTCCTAGCACTGCACCGAAATAGTCGGGATTTACCTCGGGATCAAGCTGCAAGCGAAAGTTAAATTTGGACTTAGGCATATATAAAATAATATTATATGACAAATAAATTCTTTGAAAGATCTACTAGTCGCTGCAAATTTGATGCAGAATCAAATAAACAAATCCAGACTGTGAACTTTTAAAAAGCGTCCCTCGTCTAGAATCTTCTCGACAAAATTTCTGTTAACTGCTTGTTATTAAAACGTTTTAAATGCAGGCTAAAGTCTAAACCCATAACTTTTAAGACCTCTTACCTGCTTCATATAAAGCCAATCAGCCAGTGCGAGCACGTTCTTTTCAAGATTTGCAAGAAATATCAACAAAGCCCCGACATAAACTTTGTGCCATTCAGTCTTCGGTTTTCGCGAGTTTACAGGCTCGGAGTGGTGAGATGAAGAGTCTAAAAATATGCAAAACTAATTTTATTAATTTAATTATTCCAATATAACTCAATAAAAACCCTACCATCCTCGTCGTCAAAGCTCTTGTGTCGAAAGTCGGCCGGGTGAATTTCCACGCGCATTAGGGTCTGAAAATTATTTTTTCGCTTGAAATTTTTACAGTTTGTAAGAACAAGGATTAAAGGTACAGTAGGAAAGAGATAAATGCAAAGATGATCAGGGTTAAACAGTGGCGACAGCCGTGGGTACAATCCGTAAAATGGCTTCCAGGGGTCGGGGGTGGTGTATCATCTTTTTCGTTATTGTCTCCCCCCCATCCACTCAAGGTTGCGATAATTGAGAAAGGGAAGGAAAACGAAGGTTGTGTTATGATTTTATGGATTAGCTAAAGCGAAGAAAAGGTAAAATCGGGGACAACCTGGCATAGCGCATTTAGGAAGAAAATCGAAGGAAAAAGTAGCAGAGAAATTCTAAGAATAAAGATTTTTAGATAGTAATTAACGTAGCAACGTAGCAAAGTTTATTTTAAAAAATTTTTAGGCGGCAAGCTTTCGTTGTGCTCCTCGGAAATATTTTTGCAACGACCGTGAGTGAGGGCATGCTAGCGGTGGGTATCCAGAACATATTTTTAGCTTTCTGACAAAGGCATGGTGTTCATTTAACCGTTTTTATTTGCTCTATGAAAAGCTAGCAGTGATCATTTGGGAAATAATCAGAGTTTTAATTATTACGTTGACAAATTTCTAAATTCGGAGGGCTGAGGTTACTGTAGTTTGATAAACGGCTTCATATCAATTGTGAAAGATTTATTAAATTCTTACTCCAGCTTTAAACCCACTTACTATCTCAAGTCCGATCTGTACAATCTTGAAACTAGATGATTAAATATAGCTCAAACGGTTATTATTCGGGTATAGTTATCTGACGCATTAGAGCCGGAGATGTCAATAACACCCCCATTCGATCCCTCATTTGATCGACCATTCCAAAACCCATCAACTTATCAAAAGATATTGCCCAAATTAGTACGCGATATTTGGCGAGTGGCAAGCGATATACGTGACTGAAAAGAACAAGAAGAAGAACTCGGGGACCCGGGCAAAACCAAGTCGCCCTTTTATGGGAAAATGGAAACGAGGAGGTGCCGGACTAGCTGATGGAGGGGAAGTTCGGCCAACTTACCGTATTTCTCTCGTCCGTCTTTTGGTATCCATCGTTATCATGCACCTCAACACCCGCCCCTCTGTTCTTTTTCGCTTATTTTCTTCCTTTTTCAATTCCACCACCCGGTATCCCACCCCCGATCCCGAGGCTTTATCCCTGGATTTTCTCGCCTCTCAGTTTCGGGCGGGATTGATTTTATTTTTGGGGGATGTGAAATGTGAAACGTGTGACCAGGAAGTTGCAATAGAATAAGATGAATTAGAAAAATCAAAAAATTGTCGGAAACAGGGTCAAAATAGACATTTTGAAATTTTTCAGATACTGTATATCTCGACGACAAAGACCGTCACCATGGCCATATTTTAGAAAATACATTATTTTCTATTTATCGTATCTGAAAGTTATCTTTTTATATTTTTTTCAGGTCTTTTTAGAATTAAACCCATTGAGGAAAATTGAGCATGATCTTTTCTTAACGTAAACAGTGAACTTGAATTTTTGCTTGTATTTAAAATATCTAACAAAATTCGGGATTTGAATTATTTTTAAATTGGTCTTGCAAACTAGTAATAACACTTTTAAGGAACCACAAAAGAAGGCGGAGACACGATCCGGAAACTACCATAAATCGCCTGAGGGCTAGTCACCGCCAATTTTCGACAGAACAACCCCAGAACACCGAAAATCGTGAGGAGCACCGGGTACATAAGAGACACAGTTTTCATCGACCTATTTGAGCATCAGTATGAGTCAGAAAGGAGGAGCAGGACGATGATATGGATAGGGGGCAAAGAAGAGGTGTCTAAAGGGATCGATGAGATTTGAGCCGGAGGGTGGGTGTGAGGAATGAGGTCGAAAAGAAGCTGCTTCCTTCCATCAGCTATTATCCCTAATCAACAGCAGCCCCCACAGCAGCAATCGGGTATTGTCTTTTGATTTGGATAGCGCGGGTGAGATCGAGGGGATGCGGTACGCTTCTTTACTATGCGAGTTGCAGCCTGGAATTGAGAGGAATGATGGCATTCTAGCAGGATTTTTGCAAACCAATATTTAATACCATCAAAAATTTGACATAAAGCTGTTTTCAGCACGCTAGCGGTGTTTCTTGCGGAAATTTGAGCTCTAGGCCAGGTATTTAAAATTGATTTGGTGCATCTCCAATATAGACAGACATTCAGGTTATTCCAACCATAAATCCCGACACCAAGAAACCGCGACGGTCAAGATCCCTACAAGCCCAAAATCCCGACAAATCCCGACAGCGCCGAATCCCGACAGGCAGAATCCCGATAAATCAAGAATTCCGACAATCCGATAGTACCAATGAAATTCCGCTCCGTGTTCCAGCATTCGATAAATCCCGATGAGCTGAAATACGGTGGATCCAGCGACCGAGGAAATTACCGACGAAACCAGAATCCCGACATCTGGGACCACCGCTTCGATGCTTGTTTGCTGAAAACCACACCTTTCTAAGCGATTTTGCTTTGCGGGTCAGGATTTTGCTCGTCGGGTTTTTGTGTTTTTCCTGACCAGAGACTTTTACTCATTCGCCCGTTTTCTTGATAGCGTGTCCGGAAAGGGTGGCTGGCAGAGATTTATGGGAAACCCGCCGGGCTTGGGTCACGTTGAAAAAGTAACTTCGTAATTCCAGGCAAACTAAAAGCTATTTTTGCAATAAGACTTTTGAATGCTGTGCCAGCAGCGTTCAGGGAAGGACGGCAGAAGCTACAAAGAAGTTGTCTCCGGACCTAGCAAACTAGCAGCGACCATCCAGGATACCACCGTGTCGTCGACTACGTATACCCACGTATGGTAAAGTGACCAAATGACCGTGACGCTTAATTGTTGGGAGGGGAGGGGAGGACCCAGGAATGTTGATGACCCGTTGGGGTGTGGGTGAGGGTGTCCACTGGAATGAGGCGGAATTTTCTATAGTTAAGGCCTACGTGAATTTTGGGGCTGAATTCACCGTCCGGGTCCATCGGCATGAACTTGTGATGTTTGGCGCTGGTTCCGAATTAAAAAAAACTTTAGAGAGGCTGGAAGCCGAGAGAAAATACTTTCAAATAGTTTTCAAATAAATTACTCAAAGATTTTTTGAACTTTTGATCTTCAGTAAAAAAGGTGTACGTCGAAAACACACCTCGTATCATGGTATCATGTTTTGATACCCCCGGAAAATTACAAAACCCGTTGCCTAAAAAGCGCCCGCACACACGTATGGCGCAACAAATCGAAGGTCGTGTTGTTCATTGTCTTTGCTTTTTGCCGGGAATATGATGTGTTGCCAGCAGATCACATGATGAGATTGTGGTGATCTAGTTGTATCCCGGTATCATATCCCCTTATCCGGGAGGTAGGGGGCCATGGTAAGCAAGAGGAAACAATTAGGAAATCCGGGTCCGAAATTAAATTGGTGGAATCTGACAATTGGGCACTGTTTCGCTGCCTAATAATTAGCATAATGGATTATACATCAAAATCGTTTTCTGCATTTGAAAAATGAAAAAAAACCCAGGAACTAATTGTTTAGGGCAGGGGGCTTAATTCTCCCAGTAATCCTGTACGGTCCTCTAACAAAATAGAAACCATTCTTATAGTGATTTATAGAGTTTGAAAAGTTCATAAAAACCCTAGAAAATGTTTTAAATTGTTTAGATATATTGGTCAAAAATATATGAAAATTTCCAAAAACAGGCAATTCTAATTTTTAAGATGTTTAAATAATGAGAAAAAGAATGAATATCGACATTCTGCGATTTCGATGCTTTGAATATTCATCGTTGCAAAATGTCGACATTAGGAATGACGTTCTGATAGCAAAAGCATCAAATCTGTCAAATCGGTTTCCGAAGCTAGGAATAACGCAAAATTGATGACGCCAATCCACGTAATGAAAATCCATCCGCACATGACGATTGGAAAGCTCCTAGAAATGTTTGGACGAACCCTTTCACTCAGCTTTTCCTGATCGGCTTTTATATGTTTGGCGGCGGAGGGGGTGTTAGTGAGACCAGCGAGGTCCAAGTGAAGGTCGCCCCTCGCAGCAGCTGGGCAAAACAGTAATAATCGTGCAGATACCCCGCACGTAACCGCGTTACGGTAGGGACGGCTGGAATCAGCGCTAGACCCCAATTTATGACGACGCGCGGGGGGTTTGACCATTAAAAGCTTGTTCGTTTTGCAGGAGTGTGTACGAAAGTACAGTAATCCTAGGGAAATGTTGTGACGTTTTGAATGGGAGTAAATATTGATGGTGTATGGTAGAGGAGGGAAATAGGAAAAATAGAGAGGAGGGGTAATAAGAGGATAGAGCAGAGAGAGAGAGAGAGAGAGAAGGAGAGGCTTGGATGGACAGCCAGAGAAAGATAAGAGAGAGAGAGAGAGGAAGAGAGGAGGTAGAGAGAGAGAGAGAGAGAGCGCGGTGGTAAGCTGGAAGATAAAGGGGGGGGGAGAGAGAGGAGGTCGAGGTAAGTGGTAACCACACAGCCTTAGTAACCATTACTCTAAGGCATCCATCTAATCTTTAGGTCTTTAGAAATGTGACAAATACCTTGTTTTCACTTTTAAACACCTTTACAGTTCCTTTCATGAATGCTGCATTTTTCCTTGTTTTGACCTAGTTTTTCTTTTTTTTTAATTTTCCTATTAGTGTATTCTTTTTTGCAGATGACTCCTTGACCGCGCAGATGCAAATTTCAAGCCTAGCGAAAGCTCATCTAGAACAATCAGCTCTCCACTTACCATCCTTCTCACCTCAAGCTAACCATCCCCTCGCTGACCCTTAAAGCCGTGTCCCAACGACAGTTTACCATTTGGGGTTTCCCATGCCCGCAACGCATCCCATCCGCGCGGGCGCGCTTGTTTTCCGCTAATTTATGTAGTCCCAAAAGCTCCCCAATCTGGCCTAAAATTTCTACCAGTTTGTTGGTTTTTTTTAAAGTTTTCTAATCCAATACATTACAAAAATTCATGTGTTTCTTTGCACGAAAAATACGCGATTAGGTTACAGTAGCACCACGCTAGGGGTAGAAATTAAAGGGCTGTTTGATATGTTTTTCAAAAATATTAATTTTGTCCAAAAACGCGTTCGCTGATATTTTACTTAGTCGGCATTTCACGTCGTCGAAACTTCACTTTTTCGAAAATCAGAATATCCACATTTCAATTCATCGAAAAGCTAAATTAACCTCTTTATTCACTGATGATGAACAATGAACTTTTTTATTCTAATTTCAAAAAAAGTAAAATTTTGACAACTTAATGTCAAACCTAATTTTTTAAATATACCATGATTTCGATATTTTTCTGGACTTATTGAAAAACTATTCAAAGCCAGGAATATAGAGCCGCGTAGTAGTTTTTCCACTTTGATTCTTTCCTGAAATCTTCCTTCTATTTTCTACCCACTAATCCGTAGACACAGTGGGGTAGAGCTGTCATTGTCAGCCGCTTCTTCTTCTCTCCAACAGATCGCGTTGAAATCGGCTGACGCGCGTCCTTTGATCGCGGGCGGGAGGCTACCGTTGAATCCACTTGGCACGTCTCCACTTCTTCAGAAGAAGCCTTTTCTGGGATGGAATAGAAAAAGGGGAGGGTGAGGTGAAGGGGGGGGGGTGGCCCCGCCATCTGATTTGACAGGAAAAGCCAAATCACGAGGGGCGTTTTGACGGGAGTGTCGGGAGGGCTCTTCTCTGATTAGTTTATTTGCCCCCTCCCCTCTCTTCGCTCCTTTCAGTTGCAGCTTCATTAGGAAGGGGCTTGTCTAATGAATTTTTGACAAATTAGGGATTGCCCGAAGCTATAATTTTTTTCTCTAACCAGGGGCCGGGCCTCTTCCTTTTAAATATAATGGTTTTTAATTTTTTAAAAGATTTAAAATAATTAAAAATTAAAAATAATTTTCACCGGGGGATAACCCACAAGCGTGTGGACACTCTATACCGGGTGTCGAAAGCCACAGTATATTTCCAGAGGCTAAAAAATCGAACACGAATTTTGAAGATCTTCTCTCTTCCTATTTCCTTTAAAACCCCGGAAAAATTCCACTTTAACTTTTAGATTTTAGAATACGGTCGCATACGGTACTTCATAAGTATTCTGAAAATTTTAAACTTTTAAAATATAGCTCTTTTTGGTCCGTTTGAAAAATCCGATTATTTTCCGTTTATAGGATTTATTAAGTGTTACACAAAGCTTTTTTTTTCGTGTAAGACTGACGATTAAACATCATTTTTTTTAATATACGAGGATTTAGATCCTTTACAAAATTCCATTGCCTAAACAGGCTCTATATTCATGTCTAAAGCTTTTTAATAATCGTGTACAGAATCTATCGCGTGTACGGTATTTTTAATGTGATCAATCCCCTGAAAGATTCAGAGCCAAATCCAACGCAGTAGTTAATTTCTTAAGTTTTTTTCCTGAAACCTGTAGAATCGATCGAGTATACGGTATTTTTTTAGTAATCAGTTATTTTTAGTAATTTTAGTAATCAAACCCTTTAAAAATTCCCAAAAAATCCAGGACTCATATCCAAGGCTAGAGCTAACACCCAAAAATAAAATCACCCCGAGGTCCTTGAAGCCCAAAATCCCCCCTTCTCCACCCACCCGAAATAGCCTGGGGACACGCCTCCCATGGCCACCGTTTGTTGTAGTTTGTAATGCGACCTCCAAACGACAGCTAGCTCCCCCTTTCCCCCTCTTTCTCTCCTCTATGATGATGACCATTCGTTCCCTCCTCTACTATTGACCCGAGCCCCCCTCACTTTTTACGACTTTCCGTAAACAGTTCCCGCTTTTACGATCTGTCCCCCTGTTTCCCGCCGATTTTCTTGATTCTATAGCTAGTTGTTAGACTTTTAAGTTAGTCCTTAAAGTACTACACTATATAATACCTTAGAAAGGCATTAATAAAAAATTTTAAAAAGGTTTTTCTTAATGATAATCCTCATTAGCATGTTATTCCTTAAAATACTCCGCTACAAAATCAGCTACTCCTTAAAGTGCTTCTTAAATTAATTAATTACGCCATGAAATTGTTCTCTTTTTCCAGTTTTTCAATTCCTTAAACTCGCTGAATACTCCTCAATTTTTTATTTGTTTTGTTTTCCAGCGCTCAACAGAGCGAACACAACACCTGGGATGGCATTCAATCTGCGCAGGTATTTTAAATTTGAATCTGGATTTTTAAATGGATTTAGCCTACTGTCCTGCCCAATCGTGAGGGCCACATCGATTTCTGACGCTGGCTTCGATGGCGTGCTGGTGATCGGAAATTGTGTCAAGGCGGCCAGCGAGGTGCCGGCTCTGCAGAGTGTTGCCAACGAGATTGTTGAATATGCGTCGGTGGGGATTTAAATTAAAACTTTAAAAATTTAATTTGCAATTCCTAGATGCTTTTATGTTTTTAACATTGTTTTTACGTTTTAATGCGACATTTTAGGGTTATAATACCTATTCAGCTTTAATAACTTCTAATACAATTTTTATAGCTAAACAAGGCCGTCTCCTCAAGCGCCCAGCTAATCCCCATCGGCCGTTCGATCATCCCCGGTGGCCGTCTGATTTTTTCCGGAACCGGCCCCCTCCACCGTGACTACGATGATGTACGCCGTTTTTCACAGGCCGCCACTCGCGGAATGCAACTGTAAGTGTCACCAACTTCCCAAAATATTACTGCATTTTTTGCAACCGTCAACAGTACTTCCGGCCGCCTTTTTTTGCAAATTCCCCCTCACCAACCCCACCAGGCTTAACAGGGGACCATCGCTTTAATCCCTTCAGCCGCCAGAGATGCTAGAGATAACCAGGCTCTACGCTTTAGTCTATCGCCCAAAATTTGCGGGGGAAGCCAAAGGGCGGCTTCATCGCTTTGTCGTGGGCATTGCAGAGACGTCATGCACTTCTTGGAGGCTGCTAGATTTCGGGAGCACTTCAGAATGAGCACTCATCGGCTACTGATAATGCTATTTCGTCAGCATGTGCGGGCAGCGCTCCAAAAAAAACTGCATAAAAAGCGGGTTGGGGTAAGGGGGCGAACAGGGTTAGGATGACGGCCAGTAACTGAAAATTGAGAGTTACTAAATATTTAAATTTGTAGTTTGTATTCCAGTTTATTAGAAAGAAAATCGGAGCATGAAACCATAAAAAACCCGTCGAAAGAATTTTTTAGGCGCAATTGGTCGAAAACCGATATTTTTACATTTTTAGCCAAATTTGTAAAGTGATTACGCTTAAAGAATATTAAAAAACGTTCAAAACATTTCCGCCATTTTTCTTGCAAAAAAAGTGCGTCATTTCCCCTCCCAGTCGAAATTTATTGAGTTACATTGAGCAACAATAAACTGCTGGCGCCTCCGAGGGTCGACGGTTATGTTTTTGGGGTGGACCAGGTCGGGGGCGTGTCGGGGGCGCGGAGCGAGCATTCCGGTTTTCACGCTTTTTTGCCCATAAACAGCGTTATATCAAGAGTACAAAAGACTCCATTCGATGCAGAATTGTTTCGCGCATCTTTTGAGCTGATTTTCAGCAACCTCGCAAATATCTTTCAAGTAGAACTCCTTGAAAAACTGAATAATGATTGCGTTGTAGACATTTTCCTATCGTTTTACGATGTTCAAAACACAACAATAGCACCTGAAGATGTCGATTTTGTTTTGAGCATTAGCATAACGGCATGTTGAAAGGAAAATTAGCAATTTTGAAAAAAAAATAAAAAAATAAAAAAAAAAAAAATTTAAAAAAAAATAAAAAAAAAAAAAATAAAAAAAAAAAGATAAAATCCCCACTCAAAAAAAAAAAAAAAATAAATATTAAAAAAAAATTAAAAAAAAAAAATTAATAAAAAAAAAAAAATCTATTTTAAATTTTAAATTTTTTGAAAAAGCGAAAAATGAACCCAAATTCCCATTTTTTAATTCCCAACTATTATTTTTTATTTTTCTTAAAATAAAAAAAAAATAAAAAAAAAAAAAAAAAAAAAAAAAAAAAAAAAAAAAAAAAAAAATACGAATTTACCTAGTTTTAATTTTCAATGTGTTGGTTTGCCTAGAGGTTTTAAAGGGTTGTGAGGAATGGATTTCCTAATTTGCATTCCATCTAGCATCACTTTAAGATCTTAGTTTCTCACTTCATCGTCCCTTTAAAAACCATTAATTTCTCATTCTTCGTCATCTCCATCCTTGAACTAAACACAATCCAAAGATCCGGGATTGACTGTGTCAAATTGCCCACCTTTTACGAGGGGCGGTAGCAAGGCCCCATTCCGGACATGCCATTGCCCTATTATGCGCCTCTTCTCCCCCCATTCGCACGCCCTTTACTGCTCGAGTCAGCAGATTTTTCAGCGGTGGCCCCTTATAGGACGTGCCTGGGCTCTATTATCCCTTGCGGCCAAGGGGGAGGGCTTGATAAGGTTTCGGAGAAGCCGCCCCCCTTCCGGCTGCCGCTTCTCACTGTTGATAAGCTCTTCCCCTGACAAAAGGGGGCTGGCAGACTGGCTGTAAATGATCATAACATGGCCAGCCAGAAGGGGAGGAAAATATTGGCTAGCTTCCGAAAGTGGCGCTTCCACCTGTCGCTCGCCACCTCACCCTGTGACGCCCGGAAAAAACGTGCGGCCGTGAATTTCAACGAAATTTAAGGGGATTAGCCTTGGCAGCGCGGGATGGGGTCGCTATCTTTCCTCGAAAAGCGTGGAAGTGACGCGTTTTTGGGAGGTTGCTGTGGAATTTTTGAGGTTGGGGTTGGAGTCTTGGAAAATTGGGGGTGTGGCCTTTGGTGTTGCGGGTTTGTTTTTAGTATGGTTTTGGTTGTGGAATTTGAGGAGTTGTTTGGTGGTATTTGATGAAGTTGTGGTTAGTTCACTTTCTCTCTCTCTCTCTCTCTCTCTCTCTCTCTCTCTCTCGCTCTTGATCTGTCTCTGTAACTCGGTAACTCTTACTCACGTTTAAAGCACGAAATGTTAGCATACAAAAATTGTCTACTCAGGGACCATACCTGCGCGGACCGAAACTGACGCTTCCCAACCCCTTTAAAGACAGGATGAAGACTCGCATCCCAATATACCCATTCCAGAGCCCTCCAAGCCGGTCTCCGTTCCCCACTCCTCGTCACCATCCCCAACGCCAACCACCCGAATGCAGAATTCGTGGCAGCCCTCGGTGCCCTCATGCCCTCGTACACCCCGCTCAATGTCAGAATTGAGGAAAACAAGCAGCACCTCGAGAAGATCGGTCTCCTCTCGGTAGATAACCCCTTTTTCATGCTTAACTTCCCTTTTAGTTCAACCCCAATGTCGAGAAGCTGATCGCGGCCATGGAGGAGGCTTTCACTGTCGCCCGTGATGTCGGAGAGACCGATCCGCAGCGTATGGCTCCTCCACGTGTTGCTCAGTATATCAAAGTGGGTCCGGTCGAACTAGCGGAAAATTCTATCTAATTATTTCAGGAAGCATTCAGCTCCGGAAAAATCAAAGTGGAGATCACGACCGACCAGGATGTGATCTTGAAGGAGTATCCGTTGATGGCAGCCGTTAACCGAGCAGCCAATTGTGTGCCCGAGCACCAGGCCCGGCTCATTCGTTTGGAGTACAACCCGGAGGGAAAGGTCGAGGAGACGTTGTTCTTTGTTGGAAAAGTAAGGAATGGAATTCTTATTCATAAAATGTCGTAAACCGGCAGAATTGCTGTCAAGGTATAGTAATATGATATTTCCAGGGAGTCACCATCGACACTGGCGGCTGCGACTTGAAGGTCAACGGTGTCATGCACGGAATGTGTCGCGACAAGTTCGGATCGGCCGTCGTTGCTGGCATCTTCAAGATTCTCGAGCTTTTGCAGCCAAAGGGTGTCAAGGTGGTTGGCTACATGTGCATGGTGCGGAACAGCATCGGGTCGAATGCGTATACTTGCGATGAGGTGGGAATTTGATACTTTGGCTTACTAAACCTAAAAGCTGCTAATAGATAACCTAATTCCCACAATTTTTAGGTAATCACTGCCCGTTCCGGCAAACGTATCCACATCTACAATACGGATGCCGAGGGACGAATCACGATGCTCGACCCGCTGACCCGGGCCAAGGATGAAGCCCTGAACGAGACGAACCCCCATTTGTATACACTTGCTACATTGACTGGTCATGCTGCCCTCTCTTACGGTTATTACGCTGCTTTTATGGACAATGGACCGGCTAAGGTAACTTATATATTAGGATCTTTAAAAAGTATTTTTAGACGGCCGGAACTAGCTTGAAGATCCAGGAAGCCGGTGATCACTACGGGCAACCGATTGAGATCAGCCGTCTTCATCATGATGTAAGAAAATTAAGATTTTTTGATGCGTTTAGGATGATATTTAATTATTAAGTAACTTATGGTAATTTAGGACTACGATTTCCACAATGCCGAGGGGCAACAGGCCGATATTCGTCAGGGTAACACCCGCCCATCAGTCCAAACCCTTCGTGGGCATATGGGGCCCGCCGCGTTTTTGATTCGGGTATGATTTTTAATGAATTAAATTAGAAGCACGACTATATTTAATATATTTATATTGCAATACATTATGCAATTTCCAGGCTTCCGGTATCGAAGCCCATGGTAACGACTCGGAGAAGCCGCTGAAATTCACGCACGTCGACATGGGATCGTGCTGCGGAGACCACCCGAGCACCTCGACCCCGAATCCCTTGATCGCCCTCACTGCCGGGTAGGAATTAATATAATTAGCATATATCGGTTTTTTAGCCTCATCCTGCCGCACCTGTAAATCTACGACAAGTACTTCAAACATTACAAAGTTAAAAATTCTTACATCATCACACGACGGCCAGCAACGTTTTCTTTTCCAGGGTATACATGGTGGTTGAATAAACATTTTTACGTTAACTATAAAAGTCAACCAACACGCTACAACCAACCCATTTATTTATTGATTTATTTATTAAAACACAGATTTGCAACACCAATACGGATGTAAAAATTATTATAAATTTTATTTCATTTAAATTCTTAGGGCGTCTAAATGAAGTTAAAAACTACAGAATAAAGTTAAGCTAAATCATGCTTAAGTAATTCTAAAGAAATCGTGGAGCTAGGAATTTTGGTTGTCCATGCTTATTAAATTTTCCAGTACTTATACTTCCATGCGGGACCCAAATCGGAGTAAAGACGCCGGCGATCTGGGTGCGCGCGTTCACGAGGCGTTACCGGAAAACAAGGGGCCAGGACAATGGAAAACGGGGGCCCATGCCCCCGCAGGTGTCAACAGTAAACAAGTGTACTCGGATGCCCAAAACCGCGCCTTTCAAAGGCCAACGGATCCCCGCCCCCGCTGGCTAAATTTACAATTTCGTATCACGCCCCGAAATCGCGGCGGTCTAAGGGCTAGGCAACGCGGCGCTCCTATCGACTCAAAAATGTATGGGGCTAAAAGTTTGGAGGCTTATATCTTGAAAAATATGGCCGATCTTAAAAAACGCGAATTCCAGTCTTGTAGAAGGGAACATGGCGATTCTAATGATACTAAGCACTAACAAAACTGAATTTAGAAAGTATGCTAACGAAGGCGGTTTTGGTGAGCGACTTTGTGAAAAGTGGTATTTCGGAGGGCTAACTGGCTGTATTTGGTATCATTCGAACCGTAAACTTCTACTCTGCAATAATTGATACTGGGTTTTCGTTATTAAGTCGTTTTGAAAAAGCTATAACAGCTTAAACTTTTTGGCGCCCGCTACGTTCCGCTCCTATCGACGCTTTTGTCCCTCCCGCACATTGCCGTTTTTGGCCTGTTTGATTGGCTGTGGTATAGTGGATGGGGTGGGGGTAATTTAGGGGATTTTGGGTATTGTAGCTGTCTATTTTTTACTGTCATAGTCCCTTTAAAATGGTCCGAGTGGCTGAAAATCGCATGTAAATTCGGTAAATACATTAAAAACTGCTTTTAAAATGTTGTTTTTTGCGATCATTTTGCAATCTAAATTGCAAAAAATTACTCGAATAGCTCGGACAGCCACCTGGATTTGACAGAAATTGGCATCGTCACCTACCATTAATGCATTAGATGGAATTTCCTCAAAAATCCTCGTTAGCTTGCCTAAATTTCTAACGCAATTCGACTACTATATAAAAGCTTTAAGCTAGCTAAGAGCCATTTTCAAAAATGATTGCATACCTAAAGTAATTGGTACTGGACCGTTAGCGGGGGGAACTAAGTTTTTCCGTTAATATAACTACTGTATTTCCATAATTTATTTGTATTTTTTTTATTGCTAGCAAGTTACAAACAAATATTTAAGACAGTTTTAAAATTCGAAAAGTTTAATCCTTTTTTGTCATTGTCCTAACGTTTCGACAAACGCCAAAAATCTTCAAAATATTTTGTGAGTTTTTATGAGTTTTTTATAGCTCAAATTGGATAAAATTCAATAAAATTATTTATATTTCATTCGAGAACCGTACTTGGAAAAAATTGGTACCCCACTAAAAAGCCTCCTCCATCCCTTGCTAACATTCCAGTACCAATAAATTTCACCGGATAATATTTTTTCACATCGCATTAATGCGCATGGTAGCATTTCCAAAATTGTCGCTGGTATAATAGTTGACCCAGAACTCCCAAAATCCCTTCTATTTACCAAAACAAGTTGTACATATTTTGGGTGCGCGGCCACCCCAAAAAATTCGTTCCCTTCTACCGTATTCATCCGGCCAGGGGGCTAATTGTTGGTGGGCCAAGTGGGTTTGTTCGGAACGGGGGTTTTCTGTTTACCTCTAGCCTCCACCGCATCCATAGCCCATGTTTTGATGCGTTATTTGAGGCAAATAGGAAATTCCGTGAGCCCGGCCCGGGGGTAGCGATACGGAATTTTTGTTGTCGAACCGAGCGCGACGCCGGTGGACAATTAAAGCTGATGGCTGTAGTCGTGAGGAGGTATTTTGTCTTGTTGTTAGTGAGGCTCAGGATATTTTTATTATTATAATTCAGTAATTTTTAGAGCTTAAATTCATGGCTTCTTGGTCATTATCGGGGGGGAGGCTAATTGCTTGTATAAGCTCAGAAATGCCTAAGAAAGCTCCTTTTCCTGCCAACCCCTCCACTTCCGCTCCAAAATCAAGGATCAACGGTACATTCTCTCCAATTCCGTGACCCGAAACAGCCATAGCCGCAGGGCACAAAAAAGGGAGGAAGCCGTGCCGGGCGGTGACCGTCCTCGGGGCCATGGGAAAACGGGAGAAGAGAGGAACGGAAAAACAGCGAATGTGCACCGCCATGCAAAAAGAGAGGAAAAGAGGGGGGAACCCGCGGGAAATTGCTGCTTTTTCGGTGCCCCGCAGGGGTTGGTTGGCGCTCGGCCAACAGCTGACCAGTCCGAGTGGACTGCAGGGGGGAGGCAGAGTGGAGTTTTTGATGGATTTGGGCTCTGGGATTAATTGCGTTAATGTTGCTACACTCTAGTTCAGCTTCTGCACGTTTTCGCACGCTTTATTATACTGTAGAATACAGATTTATTCAACAGAGAATTTCTGGTACTGGACTGTTAGCAGGGGGGATTTTAGCAAGGGGTGTTTTTTCGTCAATACCTACCTGTTAATAATATTTAGTGTATTTAGTTTTTGATTCCTAAAAATTTGCAAAAAATATTTAAACATTTTTGAAAATTCGAAAAGCTGACCTTGTTGTCATTTTTCGTGCATTTTTGACCAAAACTTTTTTTATGATCCTTTTGCATCTAAAACCGTGATAAAAATTATTATGGGACCGTACAAGATTAGTGGGAAAGGGTAGTTTTCCCCTTCCTAAAAATCTCCCTTTCCAATGCTGATTATAACCGGATTTGGACTTTTTGAAACTTAATATAATAAGTTCAAGAATCCGGCACATTTAATTGTATTCAAAAGTAACGAATCCCTAACCTCGGATTTTATTCCTGGCTTCCCACACCCTTTAAACTCATTTTGCATATTCCCTCAAAACTGTCGATTCCCTCGCTGGTCACTCATCAGCTGACCAGTGGTCCTCCTGGCCAGGTGCCAGATCTTGGTCGGTGTCTTGTGTGTGTTTGCGGTCCCGGCTGTCACCTCGCCCGAGGCGAAGGAGCGTGCTGCCTCTTTCCTGGGGGGCTTTGGTAGCGGCGGGCTTTGCTTCGAGGTGGTATGCACTCGCACTTGGACTCCTTGTGCTTCTTGTAGTATTTACGATTAGGATTTAATCCCGACATCCAAAATACCGACAGCCAAAATGTGATATTTCCGGTCATTGTACCCATAAATGTTTGTATTCTGGGGGTTCTGGCCTGTCGGATTTTGCCGTTTTCCTGGTGCTCTACTATCAGATTTTTAATCTTTTTATTATGCCGAATTTTTTTAGTTGGACTTCCCCATTTTGAACATTTTTCTCGACGCAAACAATTTGGTCTCGAGCAGTCGATCACCTGCGGGCGGGGTGGTTCCCTTCTTTCCCTCGTTTCGGGTCGGGAGTCGGGACGGTACCTGGCGGCACGCGCGATCCGATTTGGCTGACGGCCAGCGCACGTGTGACCCAGAAATGCGTGCAGCCGGAGGGAAGGGAGGGGAGTGACCATTCCGTCCCTTTTCTAGGAACGGAACATGCAAATCAGAGATCTTTTTGAGGATAGTATGCACCCAAAAACTATCTTGTAGAAAATGGTTGTCCCAAAAATCCTTTTCTCAAAAATAACCTGCTAAGATTTGGAAAAATCATCTTTTCGAAAATTTTGCATTTAGGGTTTTCGGAAAAAATAGCTTTGTGAGAATCCGATTTAGAAATATGTAATTTTTTGACGATTTTTGTATCTATTCAAATACCACTTTCTGAAGATTTGAAATGCTGCAAGCTATTCTGATGTTTTTATATCTTTTTAAATTCATTTTCTAATCGAATTTCTACTTTCTTAGCATTGGAATGCGGAAAATTAACCAAAACAGTCCCAAAACCACATTCCAAAACATTGGGGCGGGAAAGACAACCCCGGAAAGATGGGGGCGCCGAGTGGTGGCCCAGCACCAGCTGATTTTCGAGGGTTCGCGCGTGTGCAAGGAGTGTTTTTGCGTACTTCTAAGCTAACGGGAGGGTAGCGGCTGCAAGATAAGGATAGTTTGGAGCGTATAGAATTGCTTCCAGGAGTTCAAAAAAATGTCTTCTGCTGAAAAATCGTAAAATTCACCCGTGACCGATTTTTGCAACGCTTTAAAAATTGTTTACGGTATCTTGCCTACTTTTATTATTGTCATAAACAACACACCACGTTTATTTACACCTCGCGGCGTTCTCGCCGAATTATGCAAATCGGGTATTTTGTGCCGGCGGTGTCAGCTGGCAGGGCAGGGCGCACGTTTCGCCGGATGGGGCACAATTTCGGGTCTGAATCCTGACCGGAAAAAATATTTTTTATGTTTGGATAGCTGGGAGAGTTGGTTGAGCCCAGGAAAAAAAATGGAATTGTGGCTTCTGGGCTTGGAATTCGAGCTTCATTCCACTTGGGAACTTTCAGTCATTTATAATTTGTGTTTTTTATTTTTTTGTGTGTAGCTTTCGATTTTCTCTAATTGTTAAGGGCCGTTTTTAAAGCTTTTCAAGCTCTTGATATTTGCTAGGACTGTCAATTGTAGTTTTTGGGAGGACCCATCGCTCCGCTGACCCCCTTGATTCATCCCCCTGATTCAGAGCCCACCCTGCCAGCTCATCCCCCTCTAACATTTAAGCTTTTTTGCCGAGCCTAGCTAAAGCTGGCCCAGCTTTAGTTT